GAAAGCAAACAACTAAGTTTCCTGCTTAATGTGAGGAACCCTTCGAATATTATTTTTTATAACAGGTAAAGAGGTAGCATACATAGCTCTTATTCTGCCTCAAATGTGAATGAAATGTGAATACATTTAATGTAAGTTGATTACAGCAAGTTTTTAATAAATCTTTCTTCACCCCCAACCTAAATTCAAATCACTTCACAATGTCAATGACTCACTGTCTCCAAAAGTAAATAAAATAATAAAAATCCACTAGTTTTACAATCATTTCACTTGAGAGCTGTTCAAACTAATTAGCTAAACTACTCTGATATCGGGCTATTTGCCCGTGGAAAGAAAAATATCCTTTAGTAATCAGAAAATGAAAATATTCATTCGTGTTTTGATTTGTTCTTATTTCTAAATACCTCTAAATGTTCTGTTTTTCTAGTCTCCCACTTAGAGAAAACACTACCCGTTTGAACTCGCTGCTCGGTTGCTGGTTGTCACACTTGCACCACAGACCTTTCGCCTGAATCATCAAAGTTGCATCCGGATGTCTTGTAGCAGCTTCCTATTGGCTTTTTTCACATAATTTTAGTGGAAACTAGAACGAGAACGACCTGCCTGAAAACCTACACACATCAAATCATGTCTACATTAATGAAGGCTGCTCCTATTCCCATACACAAGAACTAGGATTATTGCCTTTTCTATGTTACCCTAACACTCCCTCTGATTTTTGTCACTGAAATGTAAGTTTTTGTCAACAAGTGGCCAGAAAAAAGCCTCCAAAATAGTCATCTGTTCCTACCAGACATGTCAGTACGGCAACGGTTAAAATGTTAGCTGTAATAACAAATGATCTAAAGGCTCTCTTGAGTTTGTTTCTTAGTCTTTCTCTACCCGAAGTACTCGTGCTGTAAACAGCTGGAATTTCAGTGTTAAATGCATCCAGTGGTGATGATTTATTTTTTAATCAGGATTAACTGTAATAGGTAATTACTGACTAGTGTTACTATATTAAACTTTGCTCTATACATGTATAAATTCAACTTTGAGCAAAATGCTTTATTTGCTTTTTATTCTTTTTATTCAATGGGCAGCGAACAACAATTGAAATGCACCTCAGAACAAACTCACACCTTCAGTATCCCCCCATATAATGCTTGTCCTATACATGCAGAGTTCCTCATTTTTCAATTTCCATCATTCAACCTGTACCTTTCCTTCAATTTCAGCTTTTATAAATAACATATTAGCATATGCAGTACAATGTCTACTGAGGACACATTCAAGGATTCATGTGCAGTGCACAGTAATCATATCTTTATAAGACTGTGAATGTAAACACTCTCTATCTGTCTGCTGAAAAAGTAGTTTGAATAGCAGGAGAAGGAAATGGATATTGAGTGAAAAGATAGAGATACAGAGTATGCAGCTGTGCACTTTAAGGTAGCGGATGCTGACTGTGGGAATCGTTTGTGTGCGATAGCACATAGCGAAAATGTATGTGAGTCTGGGCTGTGGATTTGGTTTGAAAAGAGTCACTGTGGTGACCATACAGAGATATATGTATGTATTCTGGTTTATGTTTTTGTCCTGAATGTATGAAATTGTTTTCTCAGACATAAAAAAGACAAAGACACTCAGTATTGAATTTCAAAAAGAGGCATGCAACCTTCAGTGGGAGCATACATGGGGAAAAGGAAACTTTAAAGGAAGACCTGGTCAGTGTCTCTCTCTCTCTAACATTGCAGAGTCAGAAAGTCCACCAGACTTTGCTGTAAACTTTAGAGTAGTCTGCTTGGAACCTTTTATGAAACTAAGCCCACTGAGCTCACATCCCTTGAAAAACAACAAATGGCCACATCAAGTGTATAAACAGTTGCTCGCAACTGCATTAAATAAACATGATACAATTAATTATGTTGTGATGAAAGCACTTGTTATAAGTGTGTTACTTACAGGCATAGTCTGTCCACCATGCAAGCTGTTGATGGCGGCCTGCGCTTCTGCGTGGCTGGAGAACTTGACAAAGGCACAGCCTGTGTACACAGAAAGAGAGAAAAATAGAGCAAGATGGCATTGAATATCGGGGGTGAAAAAAAAACATCCAATACCATTGTTTTCATGTTATCTGCTTTGTAAATATATTCCGCCATTTGTGTGTTGAGTGCATAACTCTGAATAAATCAGTTTAATTGTAGTGAGGGCATTTGCTGCTTGGAACATCCTGTCCCTTGCCCATTTCTAATTTGACCCCCTCCACTTTAGAGCACGGAGCCAAGGCATTTACTATCCTGACTTGTTTGTGATTATTAATCTGTTTAATATTTACACATTGTGATTTGTGTGCAGTCACTCATAAAAGAGATTATGATGACAAAGGCATAGTATTATAATCTGCCTATCTAACCGAATCTTCGCGCGCGTATAATTTCAGATGGGGGGCTTTGCTCAAGGGGCATTCAAATCATCTTAAATCTGTTGTGTAGTTAATGCGCAATAGGAAAAGTCAACATAAAAAGTTGGCCAGAAGACAAGGGAGCAGGCGTTGGTAGCATTATTCTGGAGACTCATTGCATTACCAATTCAAATGATATTAACAACAAAAAAAAAGAAAGAAAATGAGGTTGTTAATAATGCATAATATAAGTTTTAGAAGCGTACATATCATGACCACAAGATGAAACAGTGTATCAGTGTGTAGGTAAGGACAGACATTAAACTAACATAACATAAAGAGAAAGCTAGTGACCTGAAGTACAGTGGAACTGAAATGTGGTAATTTTTCCAAAAGCCATTAAATTAAAAAAAGAGCTATTTCTCTAAGCTTTATGGTCGTCATAGACTGCAGAGGGTATTCTGTTATGTCCTATTCTTATCCTTGCCTTCAGGTAGCTCATGTGTTAAGTCAAGAGATACCTAATTAACAAACCGGTGGATTAATTCTGCCCACTTTCCATTAATCGAATATCACCAGTGTCTTAGAAACCAGACAGGCTTTTCCTGGGTTCTGTCCCTGATTTCCTGTGAACTGCTGATACCTATTTAAAAAGGTTACACATTTTCAAACACTGACTCTGTTCTACATTACCAAAGGAGTTGTGATGATTCATTCAATCTACAAACGCTGATCGGTAGGCTCAGGAGATATTCTGTGTCTGGCAGCAACCCATTCACTTCTACATCTCAGGAGTCAGATTTGCTTCCCCAACAAACAAATTAATAATTCCCTGACAAAATCAAAAAGGTTGAACTGAGGGACATGCAGTACGTGTGCAATCGATGGGGGGGTGGAGGGGGGAGTGGGGGGCAGTTTCCACCTTTACCTGAGGCTTTGCTTCCACATTCAAGTCACATGATAAATGGCGAGCATTTGAAACTGTTGTGTGCAAAAATGTGGCGAGTAGTAAAGGCCGTGTGTTTTCTGTACTGTCATATGTCCTCAAAGCTGCATAGATCTACAGAGGCAAACAGATAAGTCAAAGAAGCCTTTGATACTGTCACAGCACTCTAGCACCCTTTTACTTCACTTAAATGTCCCTCTGGGTGGAGGCAGGAAAGATCTTCATTTGTCCGACTGAAATGCATCGGCCTACTGTGTACCATTTGACTGTGACTCTGCCTTTAAAGGAACAAACACATTTAACCTTTGTAGCAGAAATAATAAGGGCCAGTTTGTTGTCGCAAAAGCCTTTTGATTTTGTAAGACAGCATAACTTGCTGCTGGCTTCCCTAACAAGGCTATCGAACGTTGTGCCAGGGTCCCAGTGACCCCAGCAGCTTGGCCCAAACCGAGCAGACACACTAACTGCAGGGCTTGGCATTCGCCATCAATGGCAAAGTCATGTTGAACATACAATGTCCTCAAAATTTCTCATCAGAAAACAGCGCTGCAGCCTTGCTTTTGCTGACCTAAAAAAAAAAAATAAAAAAAGTTAAGGGACACAGAGCACAACATCTCAAAAGAATTGGAAGTGCTACAGCCTCATAAATTATAGTGCACATTTGAGTTTTTGAATTTGATGGCTCAGAATGAGTTGGGGAAAAAGGAAAAAGAGAGATTGTATTGCTTTCAAGCGGGAGGATCTGCACTGCCTTTTGAATTCCCGGGGTAATAATATGTATGCATGAATTCCATCCCTCTGGATGGGTGACATTTATAACACAACTTAATTATAGACCTAAAAGCCATCTCTCTATTATTCCTGACAATTCGAGGCTCTATTCAACTCTGGCAGCAAGTGTTGCACTTTGAAAGTACTTTGAGGAGCAGCGCCATAGAGAGATGGATGTTAAACTTCTCGGCCTTTTTATTGGGTGAAGAGGGGTGCTGAAAAGCCTCTGAGTAGCATAAATTTACATCAACAGGGGACAAAGCCTCTACCATGGAACAGATAGCACTGTCAATTTCAAGGTCTGTCTCATTCAAATTACGGGAACCTCATCCCGAGCGAGGCGACTGGCAAAATAATTTGCCGTAACATCCCGTAATGATTGCGTGGGACTGTTGCACAGTGACTGATAGGACCAGATACCTATATATGAGACCTTTGTCTGGAGGTGGCATTCATAGTTAACATTACTCTACAGTTTTCCATTTCATAGCGGCGAAACTTGAAGAAAAGGGAATGATCAAGTCGGTGATAATAGAGACAAATACCAAAGCAGGGAACGTATGGCATGTGAAGAGAGAAAGAGTTGAGGTGTGGGGCGCAGGAGGGTGAAAAAGAGTGAAAGCGCGAATGAGGGAGAAAACTAGCTTCTGTCTGACACACCAGCACCGGCCTTATTTCATTTTATGTGCTGTCAATCAGCTTGAGGCATCTGAGCAGACAGGAAGACAGGGAGCCAGATAGGAAGGGAGAGACAGCAAAAGAGGAAACAAGCTAGGGAAAAAGAAAGGTAGTGGGCCGGTGGGGCGACGCAGAGCAATAGACCCGGGATTAACAGTGAGAGGAACAGATGTAGACACAGATAGGTGTGTGGTTCAGTATAGCCAGGCTTTCTCTTTGATATACTCAGAAGGCTTTGCAAGATTGCACATTATCAACCCCTCCCTCGCCTTCCCACACATCCCTCTCACACATTCAGAAGCTTCATATAGAAGAATAAATCATAGTCAACAGAGAGAAAAGAAAGGTAGAGGTTCAGAGCAATATCATTGGCGTTATCGCTCCAAATGTGGCTGCGAGACAGAGACCCATCACGGGATGATTGGGAGCCCCCCTTTCGCACCCTCAGAACAATCCCACCTGCATCGCACATTTTACAGCAATCTTTAATTTGACCACGCTCTACTAACCAAATAGCACATAAGCCACCGACATGAATGCATAAGCTGTTCCTGAATGCAGGCAAATCTGCCACACAGTGAGTGACAGCAGCAAAAGCCAGAGCCTGGCTGTTTTATTTACAGTAGGACATTATCGTCCAATGGTGTCTCTGGGGAGGGATGATGGGAATGTGGGAAACAAACATGATTACACCCCTCCGCTTTTCAGATAACAGGAAGAGGAGGAGGTGGGAGGAGGAGGTGGGAGGAGGAGGAGAGGGGTGAGCAGAAAGACGAGGTGTCGTATGATGTATTTGTTGAGTAGAAGCCCAGGGTGAGAGGAGCTGCCGTGATGAAGAGACAACATAAGAAGAAGTTCGGGAAGGAAAGAAAAAAGGGAGAGAGGAGTGAGAACAAAAAAATGGGGGGAAAAAAAGGAGAGAGAGGGGGGGGGGAAGGAAATACAAAAAAGTAGCGAGAAAAAAGAAAGTGGGAGGCAGGAAGTGTCGGAGCACGGTGACAATGAGGTATGAAAGAAATGCGAGCGCGACACATAAGAGGCAGTGAAAAAAAAAAAACGCGGTAGCTGAAGGGGAGGATGAGTTATTCAGAGTGGATCACAGACGATGTCAATGAGCGTAGCACAGGTGAAGCGTGGCTCGAAAAATGCAAAGAGCAGAAAGAGAAACAACACACATATAGACAAGACGAAGGGATTAAGAGGGACAGACGGGCGGGTGGGGTCGGGGGAGGGAGGGGAGGAAAGAAAAAAAAAAGGAGTGGGAGGTGTGTGGGCTCTGACCCTTACTGGCCCCATCAGGCCCTCGCAGGACGGTGCACTCCTCGATCTGGCCGAAGGTCTCGAACAGCCGCCGGACATCGTCCTCGCTCTGCTGCTTGCCGAGCATCCCCACAAACAGCTTCCTGTCTTCTGGATAGGAAGAGAGAGAGGGGGGAGGAAGAGGGGAGGAGGAGGGGCGGGTGGGAAGAGAAGGAGAGAACAGAGAAATGCTACAGCTGATGGCACCGTTCTGCAGAGCTGAGAGGAACTTGTGCAACTCAAACCCCCCTTTTATCAGCAGTCTGCTGTGTTGTAGCTGCTGCTGCTTGCTGCTGCTGCTGTTGTTGTTGATCTTACTGTTGTGTGGTGTGCCACCCCACCCCGGTATGAGGGAGATATATTCCTGTTTCCAGAGAGCTATTCAAGTCTGCCACGGCGATGTTTGATACGGATGATGTTTGGCGCGCTGTGGGTTTCAGGTAAAGGTAGAAAGAGAGCGAGAATATTTTGCTCAGGTAGACAAACCGTTAGATCGTCTGGTTGCTTAAGTCACCGTGTTGAAAGGGAACATGGAACAAGAACATGTTATTACATTTTCTCATCACAAAAGCAGTAGGATTTGTATTAAACAAGCTCTGTGCCAAGGGTGGGCAGCGAGTAATATGCGGGGAAGTCTTAAAGGTCTTCTCGCACTCGTAGCACCACGATGACTTCGAGAGAAGTAGCCAAACCGAACAGCATCCCAATCAGTGTGTACGTTTTTCTCAATTAAGTCGATGCTTTGTGATGTGCTCCGCTTTCTGTTGAGTACGTAATGTAAGACATGTCATATGGAGACAAAGGTTAAGCCACATTTCTTCAGCGTGAAGGATTGTGTTTGGGAACAAAGCTCCGCAGAAGTAATGGATGGCGCTTTTCAATATGACGTTTTTTTGTGGATAATTATGAGCCAAAGGTTTGCAGATTTGTTATTTTTGAACAAATAGAAACAAGAATCGGCCAGATTTGCATACTGCAATACAGAGAAAGGATGTATCTTCCTGCTAGTTTGTACACCGGCTACGTAATCCTGTATATATTGTTTCTGGTAAAAGATTCTCTCAGCCCTGTGATAGCAAATCGTGTTTTTATAATTTGCACTGTAAAACATTTTAATTATGAAAGCTACAAGTACTCATCTCTCACAATGAAGGAAAGAGGAAACATTACAGTTTTTTATATTGTGATGCATGAGCCCACGACTAAAGATAACTGTTTTTGTGGAGTAAGTTTACCTTTTAGTGTTGTGAATAAGACTTTATTTTTGTGCTAACAGTAGAAAAATGTAGCCGTCGTGATGCCGGTCATTTAATGTTGACTAATTCTGTCTGAATATTTACAGTGAAGCACTTAACTTTAAGTAGTGCTACATATAATTTACGAAAGCAGTGACTATCTTTTGTAAAGTTTGTCCTTAAAGGTCATGAGTAAAGGTGTTAAAGGAAAGTTGCCAAATGTTTTTGTGATTTACCATCGTGTGTGACGCTGAACACCAACTGTTCCCAATATTTTCGCAAATACTCAACCGGGGTGAACTGTTTAAAGGTTTCGGGTCTCCTGCCACCACTTGTGCTCCATGGCCTGGTTGCTCCCTGAGCTCCAGAAGGGGGCACTCACGCTCAGATGTATGGGCTCTATACCACTAAATTTTGGCCAGTCAGAAAGCTAGATTTTTCTAATTAATCTTCCCGGTGCCCTGGCATTAGACAGAGCATTCATCTTCTTTACATCTTTTACATTATGCATCTCCTATTCCGCTGTGTTGTGGAATGAAATGGCTACTAGCAAGAACCTATCGCCAGAACTGATGGAAAGTGGCAGGAAGAGGAAGAAGAGTTTATTGGAAATGACACTGTTGATCTTCAGTGTGAGTCATTTGACTGGTAGGGAGCGGGGAGGAGCGGAGGGCGAGAGCATCACCTGGGCCTCGACAGATGTGACGCCTCCTGTACCTGCCAGGCCCCATTAGACGCAGCTGTTCTAAAAATAAAGCACCCGGGCTTCCTTTTTTGCAGCGGGGAAATCGGATCCTGTTCCGTTCCTGTAAAGTTCAAATGAGACACGTGCCTGCTACCCGCTTGGCCACACAAATGAGCACCTGCATAATCAATAAGGCCACGCTGCCTGGTCTCTACTGCTGCCGTTGTAGCTGTGGTGTCAGTCCATGTTCCTGTAGTCACGCCTCACACAGCAGGGTTCCTTAAACCCACCAGCTGAGCCTGATACTACTGCTCATTACTGCTCCTCCCCTGTTGGGGCTCCGGGGGGTGGAAGCGAGCGAGAACCCAGAGGAGATCACCACAGCCATTTATATCGACTGGGATTTAGCAAAGACCGACAGGAGGACAGACATCTAGCTGGATATTGAGCATCAGTGGAGCGCTGCGTAACTGTAGAGACATTCTTGAACAGGTGGTGGAGAGAAATAAGCCTGACCCCTGTCCCCGGTACTAAAGGTGAAGTGATGCAACAGCCCGCCCAGACCGCATGTGACTTTGCCACGACTGTCCCTTCCATCTTTCAGGTTTTCACGGAGGTGTCACTGTTGCAACTTAAATGGGCAGAGTGCGGTTTTACAGGCCTCCTGCAGTGTGTTAATGTTTTGGGACAAAAGTCTCATCTCGGTCCTGGCCCGAGGAGATCTAATGGCGGCTTTACAAGGCTAATTAACAAGCCATGAGCGAGGTAATGAACTTTCCAAATGTGCTGGCAAACGCAAAAATAAATTACACCCCAGTGAAGGCATTAAAGGAAGTGTGAGTGTACTTCTGAGCCTTCCTTTGGGAGAGCCACAGTGAGAAAATGAATTTGGAGCTGCTATCTTTTCATTGCCTGACCTAAGAGTGTCTCAGTCGGCCCACTGCATGCCCTGGCCAGTGTATAGATTGCTATTAATTAGTCCACTTTGCACCTGTCTCCAAAGCAGCTCTTATTGGATTTTGCAAGTTCCCACTCATCTCCTATGGCCACTCGCAAGCTTTAAATTGGCATTTTATGAATATGAATAAATATTCTGTAATGCACCCTCTGCACAAGGAGATGATTCCACAACTCCAAATGAGCCCAACAAGTTATCCATTAAAAGTGGGGAGTGGAGGGAGAAAAAAAAAAAAAAGAACACTCTTCTCTAGTACAGTCATGTATTTGCATTAAGAGGGGTGAGGACCTTCCTATGGAACTGACTGAGGATACAGAAGTATGACAAAACTCGTTGAGCTGACTGTTTGACCTCTTTGTACTTATCTCTCATTGAGAGGGGCTCATCTTATCCTTGTAACAGAGCTGAGCCACACAGCTGGAGAACATTTGAGCTCTACAGCACTTCTCTGCTCTACTCTGAAGAGACCTTTGTAATCTGCTCTTTAAACAGTGCCACTACTTTAAAATAATAATGTGCGCGCATGTGTGTACGGCAGTTGGGGAGCTTGGCTACATTATTTAGATTCCGTGCCCTCAGTCACCGTGCATAGCTGCAACATTTGTGCTGTGTGTGTAGATGTGGCTGATTCAAAGATGCATAGACTATTTAACGCACGCTTATTGCTTGCAGACAGATGCATTTATATTCTCTGCAGACGGTGTACTGTATGTCTGTGCCGGTGCTGATGTGAACACAAAACAGTGAAGTTTTATTTCAGGCCTCAGCCAGTGTACACTCACTTCCTCTCACACACACTGTCATCCACCCTTTTTTTTTCTGATTCCCCCCACTGCTTCATCTCCTCACTGAAGGTGGGAGCAATTGTGTGGAAAATGGTTCCATGTCAGTCTCCAGCCATGTCCAAACTGAGGTGGCATGTGGACAGCCCCGTTTTATGAATGCAAATAAAAAAGGAGATCAAAAAAGTTATCAAAACACTACTGACATCTGACAATTGCTTGTCTCAGGAAGCCTTTTCATTTCAGTGCCCGGTATATTAAAAATTAATGGATTTTGCACAGACGCCATATGCTGTCAAGATTGATGCTTCTCTCTCTGGAATAAAGTGCTACTTGTGTTGTAGGCTGCAGTATATGCATATAGATTGTGCTTTTCTTTCCCTCTGCTTCTCCTTTTGTCTCTCTATTGCTCCCTGCGTATCTTCCTCTTTACCCTTTATTGTCATCCCTCACCCTTCTCTGTCTCTCCAGGCAAGGAATCAGTTGCTGTGAAGTCTACTTTTCAAAAGTTTCTGCTTTTGTTTGCCAATAATGGGAATATTCTCTTTAAAGAAGTATTCTCCTGCTCCTGTGTCGTGGTAAATATTTTTTTTCTCTCTCTCTCTCTCTCTTTTTTTTTTTTCATGGTTCTATCGCTTATTGCCCGCTGGCAGTATAGTCAGGGAAGCTTGGTAGTAGTAAGTGTTCAGAAAGCATGGACAGCTGCATCCAACGATAAAAGATGCATGCTAGTCCGCTGGGTGCATTTCAAATGCAGAGTAATGTTCCAGGCAGCACAACAAAGAAGTTGTGCTTCTTATGGACTCATTAGAAAAAGCCTGATGCTGGTACGCTGCTGCCTGGGAGGCCCGCCACCAGACACACTCACGCATGTAGGCGTGCAGACTGGGTGCACAAAATGTTGGGAACTGCTGCTTAATATTGAGGTTGACTTTGTTTTTAATCATCTAGTGTATTTCCCTGTTGTGTGGAGGCTACAGGAGTCTGTTGAGAATCAAAAGATGCCATTTACTTTTAGAATGAGCTTTTCAGATAATGAGCATTAAATATTTACACATCATGGAGGGAAAAAAAAAAAGTCAGAGAGTCGACACTTTTTGAAGTTGTCAAAGACACTCATGTTTCGTTATGTAGCAAGTTGTTTGACCACAACACCTTTATGTCTTTTTCCTTATAACTCAAGGTAAAAACTCAATTCCTTCTAACTTTATTTAGTTGCAGAAATGTAATGCTGCTCCGTGCCATTTTTTTTTTTTTGTAGCTAAATTGTCATTATCTTTCTTGTGGAACAAATTTTTGCTGAAAACAGTTCATGAACAGATTAATCAGTTCTTAGAGAAGCAATCACTGACAGTAAAAATAATACTTAATCACGAGTAGAATTTAAAAAATTAGGTACTTATTAATGATAAAAGCACTAGTTGCAAATTCAGAAAGACATAAACTGATGA